TTATTGTTTGAAATAAAACTGTGCTTTGTTTTAATTCCTCTCCTGCCCAAAGACATAAACTTTTTGAAAAACCGTAATTTAAAAAAATCCCTCTAATTTATAGATAACATTTATTAAAGTAGCACTAATGTTTATTATTTTATTAGTATAAACTTTATTTATGAGATCATTACTAATTTCCCATTCAGTACCGGAGATTGAATTTTGGATCTTGCACTTGTCAGACAGATACTTGAGCCACTGAGCTATATCTTGGTCTAATAATCTTAGTAACAGTACTACAATATACTATGTAATTCCATGCTATGAAAGAAATCACATTTTAAACTATTTCAAAAACTGTAATTGTATTCTAACTAGGGATCTGATAATATTAAAAATATATAAAAATTAGTGGAGGATTTGGTTATCAAAGTTAAGAAGGGCAAATTAAGGTCTCTTTTTCCCAGAAGAGTATTCACCTTTGGCCCTGTTAACATTATAGGACCAGATCATTTTTTGGAGTGGAGACCATCTGGCACACTGGAGAATGTTTAGCAGATTCACAGACTCTACCCATAGGCTGCTAGATATATCCATCTGCTGCCTGCCACCATTGTGACAACAATTTCTCTAGATTTCACCAAATATTACTGAGATGAAGAGTGGGAGACATGTCAAAACCTCAACTGGTTGAAAACAACTGCTTTACATAAAATTATTTAATTTCTGAGAGGACATAAATTTGGAAACCTGGAAAAAAACCTGCAACTTTTATGAAGATTATAGATAAAGGATCATAGCATGGTTAAAATAATAAAGGTTACTCATGAGTAATAATAGTACAGAAAGAGAGATGCATGGCTTTGAGTTGCAGATCTGTGCCACTTATGACCGGGGAAAGTCACCTGTTCTTAGAGTGAGAGTCCTCATCTTTAGAGGGGAGAGATGGTGCTACAAAACAATGAAGTTGCTATGAGGACTGAAAAAGCAATACTTATGTATGTAAAATGCTTATAAACCAGAAAGGCTTATACAACATTAGTAACTATGGTAGCAAACAACTACGGATGGATGAGAAAGTGGAGGAAGTTCTGAGCCAAGTGTGGGGGTGCACACCTGCAGTCACTGTTACTCAGAAGGCTGAGACAGGAGAAAGGCAAACTGGAGGTCATCCAGGGCAACAAGGCAAGAATCAGTCTAGGGAAAAAAGAAAATATTTAGTCTGAAAATATAAAAATTACAAGAATAATTATTCTAAAATCAAAATATTTTAAACTTCCAAATGTTTGGGGACATAGATCAGTGGTGCAGTGCCTGGTTGGCAGGTGTGAGCCCCTGAGTTTGATTTCTGGTACCCACAAAAAAAAAATTTCAAAAGTTTTAATAAAGTTAATTTTTCTAAAATGTAACAAAGATAGTAAAAACATGGTATCATCACACTGGCAAGAACAATGTAAAAGTCAAATGATCAATGACACTGGAAAAATACAGTTCTTGAAATTAATAATAAAAACGATGTTAACTCTAAGGTCAGATATGCCATCTTGGGGATTGAACACAGTAGCATTCCACCACTGAGCTACAACCCTAGCTCCTTTCAAGTATTTTATTTTAAGATAGGCTTTCATTAAAGTTGTACAAGCTGGCCTTGAACTTGTAATCCTCCTACCACAGCCTCCCAAACAGCTAGAACTACAGATGTGTGCCATGATCTTTTTCTAAAAAAGAAAAGATAGAGCTGGACGTGGTTGTGTATGTCTATGACCCCAGCACTCAGGGTAGCTGAGGCAGGGAGGACTGAAAGTTTGAGCCCAATCTGGACAATTGAGCAAGATTTAAAAAAAAATTTTAATATACATACATACAATATAAAAATATAAGTAAGGAGCTAGGGATGTAGGTCAGTATGAAAGTCTTGCATTTAATTCAGGAAAAAAAAATTTAATATAGGAAATAACTGCTGAAATCCTTGCAATCAACTTCCCACAGTTAATGTTTATGTTTTCTATCTCTCAGCTGTTAGCCATTTTTGATTTTAAGCTTGTGAAAAACACATCACTAATGAAAATCATAAGCAATCAAAACTGTATTAAAGGGTAGTAGCTGCAGCACCTCTGGCAAACAGAGGCAGGGCCCAGGCATGGTGGTACATTCTACACTGTGACAGCGCAGCGGTTGCTGGGTCGCCATGCGTGGGCGACTCTGACATGGGTGCCAGAGGCTCCAAAGCTTGAGGCCTTTGGCCTTTCCCTCAGGGGTGAGGGGCGGCATTCCGGAGACAGCAGATGCTGAACAAGCTTTGGTGAGGCCTCGAGGCCAAGGGGTGCCCCCCTTCGTGTTCACGTGCGCGGCTCCATGTTCTATGATGAGGATGGGGATCTGGCTCACGAATTCTATGAGGAGACAATCGTCACCAAGAATGGACAGAAGCGGGCCAAGCTGAGGCAGGTGTATAAGAATCTGATTCCTCAGGGCATTGTGAAGCTGGATCTGCCCCGCATTCACGTGCATTTCCCTGTGATCCTCTATGAGGTGTGAGCCTGGTGGGTTAAAGACACAAGCACCTTTGACTCAGTGAGAAACTTATAGGCTCAAGGTGTGGCTTCCATCGAGGAGCCCAGGCTGAGGCTACAACCCTGAATAAACTGTTGGCCCAGAACCTACAGCTGTGAGCAGGGGAGTCCCTCAGTATAAATTGGACATTGGTTTGTGTGTGGACAAGAGATGGCTGGTGGCTGGCAGAGGCATGGCAGAGTTACTAGCACAGCTTCCCCAGCCACCCCTGCAAGAAGTGTGGTAGGGCATATGAGAGTCAGGAGTCTGTGGTTCTTGGTTCCCTGCCTGGCCTGCTTTCTTCCAAGCTTGCCTAGGGCCCAGCCCTACGAAAAGCTACAGCACTTTACAAGCTAAGTCTGCCTTCTTCCAGCCCCTGGGCTTTGGGAGCTCTACAGAAGCAGGAACTTCCTTTACCTCACTTCCTTTATCTCCCAGTCAGAGCATTTCAGCCGTTTGCTACCTAGATTCTTCCTGTATTAGACAGAGGCTGGGGATAGCACCAGCCTGATTCTTCCCACCTACCTGGCATTTGTTCCTATTTTCAGATGGACAGTTTGCTGGCTGTTAGTAAGAATGGGGACTGGTATGGGTAGCTTCTCCCTTTCCCAGGGCTTGGCTAATTTCTCCTCAGTGCAACTAGTTATTGCCCTCTCCTAAGTTAAGAGGGTACAGGCCAGGGTCGGGACAGGTTGTGGATGCCCGTACCTATGGGGAGTTGCCCCAAGCCACCTACTCTAATCCTCCTTGCCTTTGTATCAACCACCCCTCACCCCCAGTTTGGAGGGTCTACACTGTCCTGTAATAAGGAACAACATGCCAGGGCTGGTGCCAGCAGTGCTATAAGAAGCCCGCCACTCTTCCCCTACAGTATTCCTCACCCCTTCTGGATCAGTCAAGGGAAAGTACTAGGGCCCCTTGATAGGGAGAGAAAGGAAAAGCAAAAACAAAAAGAATACTGTACTTAAAATGTGAAGATTTGTAAACAGTCTAGTCCATGCTGATGTTGGGGCAGAGTCTGATTTCTATATAGAAACAACTCTTTTCTTTTAATTCGTTATTGTGCAAGCTCTGTGCTTCTACCGTGGGAAATGGCTTGGGGATGGTGCTCCCCAGCACAGAAAGACTGATGTTATTTGTTTGATTTCAATAAAATTATTTGTAGATCCTGTAAAAAAACAAACAAACAAAAAACTATATTAAAGTTTTCTATTACAAACATATTTTATGGTGAATACAAAATATTATCCACCTGAAAGCCATTAAAGGTTGAAAACAAATTAGTTACTACAACATACTTTCAAAGTATACTATGGACTGGTAACAAAGAATCTTAGTGACCAACTATGTATATTTCCTCCCAATTATTACAATAGAAAATGACCATCAGAATTTATGAAACAAGTGGCCAAGGAGATAGCTCAGTGGAATAAGTGCTTGTCTGGCAAGCCCAAGGTTCTGAGTTCGCTCTTTGGTACCATATACCCCCTCAAAAAGAATTTATGAAACAACAAATGAATTCATGCAACAAACATAATGATTTAAGAAATCAATTATTAGGGCCGGGGAGATGGCTCAGTGGAATAAGTGCTTGCCTGGCAAGCTCAAGGACCTGAGTTCAATCCCTGGTTCCACAAAAAAAAATAAATAAATAAAGCACCACAATATTTTTCTTTCAAAAACAGAATGTCATTCATAATTCTGTTTTTGAAAGAATTCTCAGGGCTGGTCAAATAGCTCAGCAGATTGAAGCACCTGCAAGCAGGCCCAGGAGTCAGGGGTTCGATCCCTGGGCCCACTGTGCCGGGCCCACACCCAGAGCATGCTCAGATGGTGATTGAGACTGGGCATGGTGGCGTACACCTGTAATCCCAGTTCTTGGGAGGCTGTAAACAGGAGAATCACTATGAGTCGATCTAGTAGTGAGAACCTGAACACCCTGTAGACCCTTCCCTAAAATACAGAAAGAAAGACAGACAGACAAGCAGAAAGAATTCTTACCCAGGTTTCATAACCTTTCTAGTCAAATACAACAGCACCTACTGTAGCTGAATGACCAATTCTGCAAAATCTATTTTCTCAAAATCATGTACAAATAACATTAGACAATAATAGTTGATATTTAAAGAACATTTTCAGACATTCTACTAAATATCTTACTTCAATTAATTTAACTTCAAGCTCACCCTAGCTGGGCATGGTGGCACATGCCTGTTATCCTAGTGGGAAGGGTGAGGCAGAAGGATCACTGTGA